TTCTAGGTGCTGGGTTGGTGACGTGACATTAGAAGCAGGCATCTCTACTCTTTTGGAGCTTGCTCTCTGGCAGTAAGCATATAGATAGATAAGTGATAATAAACAAAACCGGTATGTAAATTCTGCCATGCAGAATGTATCAGGCATTGGGTTGACTACATGTTTTTGTCAAACTGACACAAGCTAGAATCACCTAGGAAGAGGGAACCTTAACTGAGGAACTGCCTCCATTGGACTGGCCTGTCAGGAAGTCTGTGCCACCTTTTCTTGATTAATGATTGATGTGGGAGGCCCCAGCCCACTGTGGGTGATGCCCAGCTGTGAGCAGGTGAACCCCAGAATGAAAAGCAAGGTGAGAAAGTTGTGAGGAGCCAGCCAGTGGGCAGCGCCCCTCCGTGACCTTTGCTCCTGTTCTTGCCTCAGGCTTCCCTGATGATGAACTCTAACCCGGAAGCCAAACAAACCCTTTCCTCCTCAAGTTGTGCTTGGTCGTAGCATTTATCACCGCAGTAGAAAGCAAACTAGAATAGGTGATTAGAGAAAATTCCTGGGTCTTGGGGTTGCCTGAAGTATTGCAGTTGGAAGAAAATTGACCAGGATGCTCATTGAATCACTTGAGATAGATGTCTTGGCGGTGCTTGAAAACCTGGCAACCGGGGAGGCAGAGGTGGGTTGCTTGAGTGCAGTAGTTTACCACTAGCTGAGACAGCATGGGAGCTAGATGTTCCTCAAATAAATTAGAGGTGGGGGTGGCCATGTAGCTTAGCAGTGAGCACTGGTCTATCAAGTACAAGGCCCTAGGTTCAAATGCCAGTAACACAGATGCAGATAGTGAGAGCCTACTTTTGAGACTGGAGAGACGGCTCTCAGAGGACTGGGCCTGTTCCCAGCACCCACGTGGTGGCTCATAACCCCTGCAACTCCGGTTCCAGGGTATCTGATGCCCTCTTCTGATCTCTTCAGGCTCTTGCACATATATGATGCACTCTTGGAAGCTCACACACATACACATGAATTTTAAAAAAACCTTAAAAAACAAAGTGAAGATAATGCCAGTGTGGGTGGGGGGAGACGGGAAAGAAGACACTGAGCAGACAGTTGGAGGAAGTTTATGATGCAGGTATCTGTGGGGAGGTGTCCTATGCAAAAGGTACAACAACGTGTACCCAGGTCTGCGGTAGAGGGCTACTTTCCTGAGGCCAGATGGCTGAAGCAGAACAGGGAGGAGGAAGAAGCGAGAACAGCATCATAACGGAATGTGGGGAGGAAGCTGCAATTTCAATTAAAGAGAAATCTGAGCGTAATGGAAATCCATCAGTGGTTTTGAACAGAGTGAAATATTGAGTTGTTTTTTTTATTTAGAATATAGCTAAGAAATAAATAAGCAGCCCATAGCAATATTCCAGAAAGTGCAAATAGAGGGGCTGTGGTGGATAGCTTCATGTCAATTTGATACAAGCTAGAGCCAGCAGAGAGAAGACTGCTCTGAAGGCAAGTCTGTGGGGGCACTTTTTAATTAGTGGCTGAAGTCCATTGTAGGTGGGGCATCCCTGGGATGATAGTCCTGGAGATCTAGGAGGCAGCAGGCTGAGCAAGCCATAGGGAACAAGCCAGTAAGCAGCACCCCTCCATGGCCATCAGCTCTTAGCTCCAGGTTCCTGCCCTACTTGAGTTCCTGTCCTGACTTGCTTCAGTGAGGAACAGTGATGTAACCCAGATAAACCTTTTCCTTTCCAACCTGCTTTTGGTCATGGTATTTGATCACAGTAATAGTAATAGTAACCCTACCTAAGACCGGGCGGGGGTAGGGGGGGTAGGACTAGCCAGGACACACACATTTTCTGAAAGATTCAGTGTGGTTTTTGTTTCACAATAGAAGACAGGAAACTAAGGGTGAAGACCTTCATATGGGAGAAGTGTGTTTTACTATCAACAGCTCAAGACAAAAATTGGCAGGTTTGCCTTGGTTAGCCCAGGAATAGCACTCTGAATTGGCCTGAGCCTGCCTGTCAGGCGATCTCAGATCTGGCACCCAGTAAGTCATGCAGCGATAGTTGTGGAAGGGATGAATGTGGAGTCAGTGAAGTGGAAAAGATATGATACTTGACCGTTAGTGTTGTCATAGTTACATAGTAGTAGGGAGAGCTGTCAATCACAGCCTTTTGCTCCAGTACATTTGCTTTTCTGTTTCTGTCCCTCTAGTCTGTGAGTTCCTTCAGGGTTGGAACATCTTTTGCCAATCTTGTATGTCTACTTCCCAGTACAGGGTTTGACAACCATTCCTGTACGTTATAGTACAATCAGTAGAGAGTGGTGGAAAGAAAATATATGGGTTACCAACATCAGCTAATTCTGGCGAAATGCTTTCATTTCCTTTAGAAGAACACATTATTTGCTTTACTGCTGGAAAATTGGGCCTTTTCACTTCTTCAGTGGTTTGAATAAGAATGGCCCCTGTGGGCTTATGTATTTGAATGCTTAGTCACCAGGGAGTGGTCCTACCTGAAAGGATTAGAAGGATTAGGAAAGTGTGTCACTTGGGGGGATGGGCTTTGATGTTTCAAAAGCCCATGCCAGTCCCAGGTGTGTGTCCTGGTCATTTGCCCCCCACACCTGTCCCATGCCACCCCCCTCTTCTGCCTTCCTGTGGATCAGGATATAGCTGTCAGCTGCTTCTCCAGCACCATGTCTGCCTGCTTCCATGCTTTCTGCTCTGATGACCAAGGACTAACCCCTGGAACTGTAAGCAAGTCCCTGATTAAGTGGTTCTTTTGTAAGTGTTTCCTTGGCCAAGATGTGTCTTCACAGCAATAGAACAGTGACTAAGACAACTTCTAATTGTGTGTGGATTTTCTTTATTCACGTGTGTGTGTGTGTGTGTGTGTGTGTGTGTGTGCATGTGGGTATAGGAATGGAAGTCAAAGTTGGTCCTCTTCTGTCCTGTGGTCCCAGGATTATCAGCATTGGCAGCATGAACTATTTTGCTGGCTCTCTGTGTTTTAAAACCCTGATGAGCTATTCTAAGTACTTGACAAGTGACAAGTTTTATCAGTAGGTGATAAGAAAGCACAATGAAGCCAGCTTTCAGGGTCTGAGACTGGTGACAGGCTGCTGGACCCGAGGGAGGAGCACAGATTAAAACATTGACCCGTGAGGATCTAAGTCTACCTTCTCAGGGGGACGGTTTGCCTGGAACCTGCCCCTCAGGCCCCTGCAGTATCTTTTCCTAGGGAGACCTCCTTTGTATCTCCCGGCCTTCTGCCCCAGGTCGCCTCTTACAGGGATATGGTTTGGTGTGTGTGTGTGTATGTGTGTGTGTGTTAGCATCCGGGACCTGGCAGAGTGTGTCAGTCACTCCTGTGCATGGCAAGCAGTACCCTGGTTCCATACACAGGCACAAAAGGTCCATCCATTTAAGAGACAGGCTTCACCTATTCCCACTCTCTTTCCTGCTGTTCCTCTGAAGAGACAGGCAGGTCTTTGCCCACCCCTCTCTTCCCTTCCCCCAGTAAAACTTCCCAAGTAAGTTTTGTCTGCATGGCGTGGGTCTGCCGTGGTTTGGACTCACCAGCCAAGGTCCAATCTCTGTATCGTAACTGTGTGTGTGTGTGTGTGTGTGTGTGTGTGTGTGTGTGTGTGTGTGTTGTATGTGTGTGTGTGCATTTTGAGACAGGTTTTCTCTGTGTAGCCCTAGCTGTCCTGGAACTCACTTTGTATACCAGGCTAACCTCGAACTCACAGAGCTCTGTCTGCCTCTGCCTCCCGAGTGCTGGAATTAAAGGCAAGTGTCACCACCTCCCGACTAGAAAATACTCAAATGTCAGCCCCAGTAGGGGGATATATCTGGCAAGTATCCTGTCCCCTGGAGGGAGCCTCCTCCTCTGGTCTCCTGTTGTGACAGCGCTGATTAATGGTCAATTTGACAAGCTCTAGAATCACAAATAAAACAAAAAACCAAACCAACCAACCAACCAACCAACAAAAAAACACAAAACAAAAAACACTCCCCAAAACAAAAAAAAACCAAGTCTCTGGCCATGTTTGTGAAGGAATTATATAAATTAGGTTAAGTGCCCCAAATGTGGGTGGTACAATCCCATGGTCTGTATAAAAAGGAGGAAGCCGGTTGAGCACCGGCGTTCATCCATCGGTGTCAGCCCCTGGCTATGGACGCTATGTGACCAGCTGCCTCCGGCACTTGTGTCGTGAGTCCCCGCCATATTGGCTTGTACCTTCAACCTGTGAGTTAAAATAAACCTATTCTTTTAAAAGTTGCTTTTGTCAGGTATTTTGTGGCTGCAACAAGAAACGAATACGCCTCTCATGGCCACATTTTTTCCCCAGCAACCTCTCCTGTGGGAAGAGCCTCCTTCCTGGTTCTTTCCCAAGGGGACACTTCTCCCCGTGAGGGAAACCTCTGTCCAAGATCGTCTTCTACAGGCTCTAGGCAGCCAGCATCCTTCCCCACGGGGGAACTTCCCTTTCAGGTCTCCCTCCGCGGAGCACGTCACTCTAGCATCTCTTCTCTGGAGGGAGTCTCTAGTCCAGGTTCTCTGCAATGGGACGAGGAGGACCAGCCACAAATCCCCTGAGGGGAAGTCTTCTTTCCAGATCCCCTCCCATGGTGACACCTCTGGCCGGTATCCCCTTTCCTCCCTTCAGAAGGAGCCTCCTTCCCAGGACCCCTCAGGGGACAGCTTACATTATTCTGGGGGCTCAGTTTATGCCTGGTATCCCTTCCCTAGAGGGAAACCTCTGCGTGCGAGCCCCACCTCTGGAGGCCCTTCCTCAGGGTGAACACCTGCGCCTGACAACACACTCATTCTCTGGTCCCTAGCCCACCCCGTCCCCGCCCCCTTCGGCCCAGTATTCTGCCCTTTGGGGGGGCGTCTGCCCCCGACGCCACACTGAGGACCCGAAGACCCCCCCTCCTTCCCCAAGCAGGAGCAGGACTTCCGCGGAGCCCCCTCCCCTCAGGCGGGACTTCCGCCCTCGCCCCCCTTCCCCTGCAGCGCCGCGTTGTCCTCTCCGCCTGGGGCGAGCCGGCTAGTCTCGCGCTCTCTGCCTCGCAGCTGCGCGGGATCTGGGTGACACGGGCTGCGGAAGCCGGAGCCGTGCAGATCGCGTCTCTGTCTCCTTTCCTGTCGCCTGTCTCCCCTTCTGCTCTTCTCTCCGCCTCGTCAGGCTCGGCTAAGAGTGAGTGGCAAGATGGCGGCGCCCAGGATGCCACCCTCCCGGCTGTCGGGCGTCATGGTGCCAGCACCCATCCAGGACCTGGAGGCCCTGCGCGCCCTCACGGCGCTCTTCAAGGAGCACCGTAACCGGTAACTGTGCAGGGGCTGCTGGTTAGGGGGAAGAGGATCCATGGAGGGGCTCTGGGCTGGGCGGCGGGCGAGACGGGCTCGGCTCACGCGCAGGTTGTGGCTCTGGGGCGCGGGCCTAGGCCTGCTCGGGACGAGGCTTTGCCCAGGCCCTGAGGGGGCAAGACGGTGGCAACGCCGGTCCCCAAGTTGGCAGTGAGGAGGCTGTTGGTTTGGCTCCTCAGGCGGGACCCTGAGGGCGGGCGATGGCCGGGGGAGGCGTGTTCAGGCTTGCTTCCCACCACGGGGTTAAAGGGTGATGCCCTGGAGCCTGCAGATCCGGACTGGCTTCTTGACATCTGTTCAGCGTTGCCTGCGACCCTTCCGTTTCTAACCTTAAAAATGGGACATAGGGTGCGTGTTTTCAATGCTGCGACGGAGTAAGACGTGGAAACAGAAGTACGCGAGGCTGTCAGGTCCAGCTGGATTTTATAGTATTGCTGGTGCTGCGAAGTTCCCCTTTCTGTTTAATGCAAGCCATGTTGGAGGGTATCTCCTTAGTGGAATGGCAGTGAGGATTTAATGAGATTATGTATGTTTCATCCTTAGGCCATGCCTGGCACCTAGCAGTAAACAAGCATTAGTATTTTTTCTTAACAGTAATGGTCTCCCCTGTGCCAAGTACTGTGCTTAGTTACTGGAGTGAGAGGACTCAGAACTCTTGTTCTCTCTTATGGGGAGAAAACTTGCAATCCCAGTGTGGACAAGGAGCAGTGATCAGAGTGGAAAAGTGCACATAGACTTGGGTAGGTTCAGTGGTTACTAGAACTTTCCTTTTTAAAAAATAGGTAATCGATTTAATCCCAGCACTTGGGAGGCAGAGGCAGAGGCAGAGGATCTCTGTGAGTTGAGACCAGCTTGGTCTCTAGAATGAGTTCCAGGACAGCCAAGGATACACAGAAACCCTGTGTTGAAAAACCAAAATGAATGAATAAATAAACCCTATACTGAAAAACCAAAACAAACCAGTCGACCAACATGGATGGATGGATGGATGGATGGATAGTCAACCAACATAGGTAGGTAGGTAGGTAGGTAGGTAGGTAGATAGATAGATAGATAGATAGATAGATAGATAGATAAATCAGGCATAGTGGCACAGGTCTTCAATCCCAGCATTCAGGAGGCAGAGACAAGTGGATCTCTGAGTTCAATGCCACCCTGGTCAACATTGTGACGCCCTCCCTATCCCAAACACAGATAAACAAACCCAACTACAACAACAACAAGGAAGGATGCTGAGTTGAGTACTTTCCCATCTGCAGTCGCAGTAGAAGGGTGTGTATCTGTTGAAGGCCCCAAGGCACTGCTGCTTGGGTTTGTGGGTAGGATGCTGATCAGTGTGATACTTACTGGGAAATAATGTTGGTTGATCTGATGCTTGGGCTTGTCTATACCTTCCAGGACCTATACCTTAGTCATTGACCATATATTGAGCACTACGAAACAGACTTTGCAGGGGGATGAAGTTACAAAAGCAAATGTGACATAATTCCTTTCATCAAATCGCTAGGGGATTGCTGTGTAAAGATAATGCAGTAGAGATCCACACAATAAAGGTGATGCCTCCCAGCTCAGGAAAGACAGATAATTGGAGAGGGCCTGGGAAGATGGATCAGTGGTTAAGAGCAGTTGCTGCTTCTCCAGAGGACCAGGGTTTGATTCCTAGAACCCATATAGTAGCTCATGGTCATCTGTAACTCTAGTGCAAAGGGATTTTGATGTCCCCTTCTGGCCTCTATGGGTATCAGGTAGGTACACGCATGGTATACATAGACATACACACAGGCAAAACACCCATACATGTAACTTTACCAGGGCTAGCTAGAAAAGACAGTGTATGTGAAAGGGTCATATATTGATTTTGTAGAGTTTCAGAGAAACAATCCAGATAATATGTCTTGGACAGAGGAGACAGCTGAACATTTTGGCTTCCTTCATGCACATAAAATAAGGTTAAAGACTTTATTATTTTTTTTTTTTAAAAAGACGAACTACTGACACAGAACAACATGGAAGAATTCCAGAAACATTGAATGAGACAGCCAATTACAAAGCATATATACTCTTACCAACTGGTACACAAGCCAGTTGTTAGTGATAATACACATCTGAACAGTGACTGTCAAAGGAGGTTGGGATTAGCAGGGAAAGAGTAAGGGACCTTTCCAGGGCATGTGCCATATATAGATGTTTTTTTGCAGTTTTCTGCCTGTAAATTAATTTCTCGTTGTATCAGGAGTTTCAAAAAGAACTCATTTGAGCATGGTTGAGAGACTTTGAGCAAATACCACTGGCCTTTTCTACTCACAACGTAAGTGTTACTACCGGTGGGGGAAAGATGGAAGTAGTAAACTTTGGGTGGCAAGGTGGCTAGGTGGGTAAAAGCACTTGCCATGCTAATCTGATGACAAGATTCCCAGAATCCAGGTGAAAGTGTGTAATTCCAGCATTCTAGGACTTCTGTGGCGAGATGGGAGGCAGAGACAGGAGACCCGATAAGCAGCTTGTGGGCCAATCAGCAACACTGCAGAAATGAAAGATCTTGACTCAGAAATGAGGTGGAAAGAGAACTGCTCCTCAAAATCATCTTTGACCTTAACGTAGTTAAGGTTTCTATTGCTATGGTAAACACCATGACCAAAAACAACCTGGAAAGGAAAGGGCTTCTTTTCAGCCTGCATGTTTCAATCGAAGTCTGTCATGAAGGGAAGTACCACAAACTTGCCCACAGGCCAGTCTGCAGGAACATTTTCTCAATTGAAGTTCCATCTTTTCCAAAATGACTAGCCTGTGTCAAGTTGTCGAAAAAGTAGCCAATACAGACCTCCACATGTGTGCCATGGCTCGCTCACTCATTAGTTTGTACACACAAATAAAAAAGTAAAAATTAAATAGTAAAATTTGTTCTAAGAACAGTAGAAGGATTGGGCATTGTTTGCTAACATTGTGAGTAATCTGGTGCTTGGGGGTTTTGCTTCATGAACATGTTCTCTATGCCAGACTGTGCTTGCTTTATGTTTCTAGAGGCTGAGCTGAGCCAACTGATTTGTGACTGAAAATCTAGGGAAAAAAATTCAGAAGACAACTAATGTAAGAATGCCATGTGGGGCTGATAACTTTGATGGGCAGCTGAGGCTTAATCCTCCAGGAAACATGTGGACTCTACCTCCAATTTACCCTTCTGAAGATGCATGGCTTAAGTAGTTGATTAGCCTGTTGGTCATTGTTTGAAAATTGATCCTGATGTCACATTGGCTGGTCGGGTCCAGGTGTGGGTTGAGGCCTAGCAAGAGTTACAATCTGCTCTTCTGCTTAGGTTTTCTCTGGTCTGAGACTGTCCACTGTCAGTCTTCAAGGTAGCAGCCTGTGAAATTTAAGAATTCTAGTAGGAACACTGTTGCAACAGGCTATAGTCCTGCTGCAGAGGCTTTCACAGGGTAAGGCTCATCTGTCTCTATCCACCATACTGGATTTACCCTGGGTTCAGCCTGCAGTGTGTATAAGCCCTGTTGCTAAGGGGTCTGAGCCCTTGGTTACCTTTCCTTTGTTACTCTGGGGTTGCTTTTCAGTTGCTTTTCATGGGATCACTTGACATGGAAGTGCTGAGACTTTCCAGTGAGACCCAGGGTTCTAGATCCTTCATCTTGAAGAAACTATGGCTTTTCAGGGTGCCCAGTGCTGATATTCTTTATGTTGTGGTAACTGCCATTTTTGCACCTTAGTCCCCTGGAAGTTTTCTTTTTTGAAGGTACATCATTATTTGTTTATTGTGTGTGGAAACCTTATGGCCTACATTCTCTCCTGCTATGCAAGTCTCAGGAATCGAGTTTAAGTGGTCAGGCCTTACTGCAATTGCTTTCACCTTCTGAGCCATCTTGCCAGAATGACATGTTCTTTTGGGCCCTAGGGCTTAGTTCAATACTGCCTAGGGTTACAGTGTTAGGACACACTGTCCGTGGGTCATTGGGAATAATGAGGGTAGCAACCAGTTTTTCTTGTTGCGATTTTTCTCTGTGAACCTTTACCTCAAGACCTTTTCTTTAGCAACAACTGTTGTCCATGTCTCCTTTCTGTGCTCACTTCTCCCTCTGTGAAGGTTTTACATTTATTTGTGCCTGATCCAGTGAGCTTGGCTTAAAAACCAGTACTGTGTTGGTGATTTAGACAGTAATAGGTTAGAGATCTATGTATCTAGTTACTGGGCAGACAACATCTTCTACTAGGTCCTTTCTGTGACGCCCTATGTGTTTCTACTTTCCATGTAGCCTGCATGTGGGCTACAGTGTTTGCAGGTCTTTTTATCCTTCATGTGCAGAGGATTCATGTCCTGGCTCTGACCACATAGTGTTTCTAATTACCACAATGTGCAGGGAATGTTTAACCCTTTTCATCCAGTCTGTAGTTTTGGAGCCTTGTCCTGGAACTCACTCTGTAGATCAGACTGGCCTTGAACTCACAGAGCTCCGCCTGCCTCTGCCTCCCTAGTGCTGGGATTAAAGGCGTGTGCCACCTTGACTGGCTTTAGTTATAGGATTTTGCTTTGTGGATATGTTGGCTTTTTAGGTTCAGACTTGATTATAGTAGAGTGTTCCCATTGAGTTTCTGTGTGTGAAAGTGTATATCTTATTTATAAGTTAGGGTATACATTTTTCATTTTTATAACTGAACATACTAAATTGCTAAGAGAGAGGTGTTAAAATGTGAACTTCTCACTGTCCCTCCATTTCAGAATGGAATGTCCTTTTTTCTTTTTACACTTTTATTTGGGGGGGGGTGTTTCAAGTCTTTTCCACCATTGGGGTCCTGGGGATTGAACTCAGGGTTTTCATGTTTGTTACATTACCCACCTTGCCAGCTCATTTTAATAGAATACCCTTTCCTTACCAGTCTGTTCCTCCTGACTAGCACTCTTTTTGAGGGCAGGAACCATTGTCTTTGGGGCATCTCCTGACAGGGTGCCT